AGCGCGATGCCATTGCAGCACGTCAGAAAAGGCTCCACGGAAACGACACCACCAGTGGGAGCTTAAAGTCATGACTGTCCTTTCCACTTATAATACAAACAGGGTAGGGGACAGGACGCAGCTTCCTCAAAGACCAGTACAAACGCTAAACGGTCTCAGCTTAACGCCATTTTCTTTGACACATAACCTGCTGTCAAAATGTTGTGACTGGACAGCTCCTAGCAACTGGTTATTGTTTACGTATGTTTCGAGACACGCCCATGGCTTGTTGCGCGAGATCTGGTAACATGCCTTTTCCAAGTCCGCAGAGCACATGTAAACTAGATGAGTCAACTTCCACAATTTCTTAACAGTTTGGTATAGATCTGATCAGAGGAGCTTCAGCATTAAATGAAGCCACACTGCTTTTCTTTCTTAGAATTAGTTATTCTGCGGCACATTCTTTCTAACACCTTTGCGTAGACTTTTCATGGAAGGCTCAGCAAGGTAACGATCTGATAACTGTAGCGCCCCCTATGGCCAGAGGTGCTGCAACCGCGGTTCTCAAGTTCACTGGTGTCTTCCCCGTAGCCATTGCAGTCTGAAAGATTTGTGTTTGCTGTTACTTGCTTTTTTCGCCTAATGCTTTCAGCATTTCAGAATTCTGAAATTTAGATTCAATTCTGCATTTCTGGATTCATTTCCAGAAGCTTTGCCGTTTTTCAGGCTTTTTGCAACTGTGAAACTAATATTTTATTGTCGTTGCTGCTCAGAGAAGTTTTCCTGCATTTGTGTGGGGTTAAAGATTTTTTAAAAGCATTCTCTAGACTGTCTTTCTTTTCATATCGGTAGCGGCAGATGGTTTACTGTAATACCTTGTTTGCAGTCTGGAAGTTCAGCTCCAACACATCATTCACCTTTTCCCAAGAATGAGCTTTCATCTTTGCCGCCGTTTTCACTGCTGCCTCCCGAGCTTCTTCGTTCTATATGTGAGTTGAAGGGCCTTTGCTTCAAAGCCATATCTTAAGTGCAGCCTTATTGTCCTCGATTGTCAGTGATATTTCTCATGTCCACCAGCAAGTTCGATCCTCATCTCCGTGTTGCAGACCAAGCCGTTTTAAGGCGCAGCATTCGGCGGCAGCCCTAATTAAGCCCCTCTTGAACGACTTTACTCTTTTTCACGTTAGTGGTTATCACTGAGACTCGATCAAACCGTCGTGCGATGTTGTTGCAAGTATCGCTCTCGTATTCGTGGAATGTTTCCCATTTGATTCTCTTGTTGCTTCTGCCACCAGATGGTCGCATGGTCTATTTCTCACAACGCCGCGTGCCAACAACTAAGCAGTGATCGGTTGATAGTTCTGCGTCTCTCTTAACGCGAACATTCATTACAGAAGGTCGTAAGTCAGACGATACGATTATCATATCGATCATTGGTTTTTTTGTCCAGCTTCCCTGTACCTGATGTACTGGTACACGCTTCGATTATCTAAGATGATGACGGTCTCTTGTACTACGAAAGCTGAACAGCTTCATGCTGTTATTCCTGTGGTCGCTAGGGGTTCTTTCCAGTCGCACCTTTCAACTTTTCATTATCTGCTGCGACATTCGAATTGAAATCGCTCCTTCGTAAAAATCAAATTCTATCTCCTTCAGAGTGGATTGATATTATCCTGTTGCAACCTCGTTTGGAGGATTGCCACTTCTCCGCTTGTCCGCTAACATGGTTGCATTCAGTGATTCATCCAGCCACGTTGGGCTGTAACAGAGCACCGATTTAATCGCAAGTCGTACAATCAACAACTGTGATCAATACTGCCCTCCCGCAAATCCCAGGACCCTTGTGCCGTTGGCGAAAGTCTAAGTTTTGTCCCGTCCTCGGTCAGATGGTATGCTGCTTTTCTTGCCATCGATCAGCGGTTAAGAAGAACTGGCCTTGAGCTGTTGTTCTTTATCTTAGTCGAATTGTTTCGCTAGTACAATGTCTGTTGTTGCAGGATGCTGTTGTTTTTCTGCTGCTGTTGCTTTATAATGCCCGTTTTTCTGCAGATGCAGAACTCCAGTCATTGAAAGAAACGATTGTCGATTTGAACCAAGATTTACAGAAAGAAAATTCTCGTATGGAGGAATTCGTTAGCACGTTGCAAATGAAGAATAGGAGCTGTGACTTGAAGGTATTACTGCGCATATAGATCGAAAAAATTTATTGATTTGCAACCGGTTTAAAAATTATTGATTGCTAACGTTATTGTTATAATTTTTTCCAAGATGTACTGGTGTTTATAGAATTAGCATAATTTAACTCCTGACTCTGAACCTAATATAATGCTGGCCTTCCTCTAGGTTATACTTTGAAATTTCCGTATCGATTAGATACATTTATCAATCTCATGGAACGGAGTACAATTTTTATCATGGCATTTCGTCCTGACTGGTAAATTCCTCATTAATTTTCGTCTTCCTTGAGTTTTTTCAAAGTTCGATTTTCTTGTACAAGTTGAGCTGTTATTTATGAAAAAGTTTTTCACGACTGCAGTGAACAACTTCAAGTATTTATCATAATCCTGAATTTTACCCTATCTCGATCATAAATCTTTTCCTGTTCTTCCTGCAGTGTAAAAGCATAGGATACTTTGTCTTTTAAATTATAGTGCACAGATTGGGGCGTCTTTTGACCGCTGTTGCTCGCTTGAGACACTCGCAGTATATCTGTTAATGCTTGTGGATGAAGTCTAAAGCATGTTTGTAATCGGTGCAGGTACAGGTAGTAGCCTTCAACTTTTTGGCTTGTAGTTCATCCATTTAAGATCTGGACAGTGGTCTGTAATGCTATTCATGCTTGGTAACATCGGCTGTTTTACGTTGGTAAATTTGCATGCTTTTCTTTTATCGTGCGCTCCATATAGAACTGACATGATGTCTTCTTTGATGGGTGAGTACAAAAGCGGGATGCCCATTTCTTCCATAAATGTGTCTGATTTGAATGCCATATATCACTGGAACAGAGACTACTTGTATTACTTTTGAAATACAACTGACTTGTTTTAGCGTGCAAAGGCCGTTGACCAGTTTGCAGCGATGAATACGCAGATTGAAGAATGGAAGAGCCGAGTGGAAGATTTAGAGTACGAAGTCGAAAAAAGCCATATGCGCGAGGAGCAACTGGATTACAGGCTAGCCGAGGTAGTTAACCAACTGCAGGTAGCTCAAAACGCCACAGTTAACAGCAACGCCGACAAGTCTGAATCGAGTAGCGTCAGTTGTGATCGATTCGAGGAGTTGCAGGCAAATCTGCAGGAACAGTCTGCTCTTGCTCAGTCACGACTAGAAGAGCTGCAGGATATTAACGAGCGATATAAGGAAGCTCTAACCGCCATAGAAACGCTAAAAAGTCAGGTGCGTGTTTTCTGGGAAATATTTTATAACAATCATTATGTATCATGTAAAAATGTTTGCTTGTGATCAGTGTGCCGATTTAAATCAGTTTCTGTAAAAAGTTTTGATTTAATTATTTATTAAATTATATTCAGTGTAAATTGATTGTAATTGATATTAATTTAATGCTGAATCAAAAAATGCCCAAACACTGTGATTCAGGAGAAAAACCGAACACAGCACTGCAGCTAAATGTTTTGAAGTCATTTTGTTATTTCATTTGTTACTTATGTAACTCCGAAGTTTCAATTTCTTCTTTAGATGGCAGTGTATATTGTTTTTTGATAATTTTTAATAATTATTTAAGACATCACATGACCATTGCCAATTCACGTGCTTATTGCGGTGATATCGTTACGTATGTTACAGTACTACTACCGGATGATTCATTTGCTCTTATTCTGACTGGACAGAAGTAATTTAGCTGAGATTTGATATCGTGTCAGAAAATTTCCTTCGGTCTCATACAAAACGACATCCGTTACAAAACCTATTGTTTCCAGCTCAATTCCTTGTTATAATTCAACTAATCGGCATCGTGGAATATCTTAACCTCTCAGAATGTGCATTAGTGAATCGTTCGCTTTTCCAAAAAGTTGTAAAATTGCTCTAACAGTTTTCCCGACGACCTTGCAGACTGAGTCGTTTTGTATCCTGCATTACGTTCTCTGATTCGGTATCCTCGTTGTTCGTATTCACCACCTCACTTTTTGGCATAACAGACGCAGAGCAAAATGTCCGTAGTCAGTTGTACCGAGTAATCATTATACCGTATTTCCTTAAATGAACACTAATTGCTTTCTGTCGGAAATATACATTTTAACCTGTTATGTCAGAAATCTGTGTAAATCAACTGAAGCAGATTAGGATTATCGAAGAAAGCAAAAAGGTCGGTGACTGATGTTTTAAGAAATAAAAACAAACTCAATCGATT